AAGGATTATTGTCTTTACCTAGGATCAAACAGTTCTTCTTTTAGAGATAATGCTAAATTTAGACCTTAAAGGCATAAGAAATGCTGTAGTATGGTTCCTAAAACTAAAAAAAAATATTTTAAATATGAGTAATTAACCCTGAAGGTGAAAGCCATAAATACTTTTCCAACACTCAAGAAAAGCAGCTGTGAGAATCCGTCTGCAAGGGTCTTGCCCAGCCTTGGGGCAAGTTCTTAGAGCAGAGAAAGACGGAGTGAAGATTTCTCAAAAGATTGGAGCACAATCTTGGGGGACAAAAGATGGGACACAACAGCTCTGCCAATATTAGCTTTGAAATTAGGGAAAGTTTCTTAGTGCAGCTGGACTTCAATTTCTAATCTTTGATTTGATTAGTAATAGTAATTGCCACTTTCATAAACATGTTATTAAAATATTTATATTTTTAAATGATGTACCTATCTTTGGAAAAAAATAAGTATTTGTTAGTTTGTGTGTAAAGAAAGGTTAAAAAAAAGAAATAAAGAAAGGAAGGAAGGAAGGTTAAGCATACTGTTTGTTTCATTGTTAATGTCTTTGACTCACTAGGTGAAGCCCCCTCAAACCCAGACATCACGTATTCTGCTTAGGTCATTCAACTCAGTGGTGGTGTTTCTTTACTTTAACTTTGTTCCACTTCTATGTGGTTCATTTTTCTGTCACTGTAAACTGTATTTGATTTTTTTTAAATTTTTACTGTTTTTTTTATGCTACTATTTCTGGGTTGTCTCTATCCTCTTAGGATAAAGAGTCCAAAATGTCCAGAGGCAAAGCTGTGAGAGACGTGGCCACTCTCAATTATGAAGAGATTTAATTTAATAATGCTATTTAATAAATGTTCATATGCACATAATTTGAAAATAAAAATAGAAACTTAAGACACTTATGTGAGAAGCCTTCAGGTATCTAAAATAATGAGAGATTTTAATTAGAATTTACAGTTTTGCTAGGTACTCTTACCGTTTTTACATAACTGTATTGTATAGTACAGGGTATGTTTGCTGTTGTCAGTTCTGCTAAAATAATTGTGAGTTTCATTTTACAAGTGTCCATAAGGTGTTGTATGAATTATTTTCACTAATAAAGCTAATAAGAACTGAAGTAAGATTGGCATTCACTGTCATGATTTATATACAACTCTTTTCTGTTATTTTGCAAGAAGAAATGCATAGTCAGAAGATGTTACTTAAAGATATCACAAGAGTTCGAAATATAAAAAACGCTCAAGGCAAATGCCATAGGAGAATATTCATAACCTGTAAAGGTTTTTAATAGATCTCTCCATTGCTGCTCTTGACAAAGAAGGTGATCATTTCCCTACAGAGAGTATGTCTTCTGAGATAAATAGACTTACCTTGAAGGAGGCAATGGTAGCATTTGACATGTGTACTTCGGGCAGACCTCTGCCTAACCTTACCCCATGTTAAAGGCACACTCAAAGCTTTCAGCAAATGTTTTAGAATCTGATACTGGTGTTCAGACTGGTGACTTTGAGTCTTTTCATAGTCGTATATTCTCAAAGCTATGAGGAATCTCTCCATAGTGACTCAGTTTATCTTGCTCGGCATCCCAAACACAGAGGGCCTGGAAACCATGCTCTTTGTCCTGTTTTTATCTTTTTACATCTTCACCCTGATGGGAAACATATTGATCTTACTGGCGATTGTCTCCTCCAGTCGGCTTCATACGCCCTTGTACTTCTTCCTATGTAAGCTATCTATTTTTGACATATTCTTCCCTTCTGTGAGCTCTCCCAAGATGCTGTTCTACCTCTCAGGTCACAGCCGAGCCATCTCCTATGCAGGCTGTGTGTGCCAGCTCTTCTTCTACCATTTCCTGGGTTGTACTGAATGTTTCCTGTACACAGTGATGGCCTATGACCGCTTTGTTGCCATATGCTATCCTCTACGTTACTCAGTAATTATGAGCCACAGAGTATGTGCCATCCTGGCCACGGGGACATCTTTTTTTGGCTGTATTCAGGCTACCTTTCTAACTACACTCACATTCCAGTTGCCCTACTGTGGCCCTAATGAGGTGGACTACTACTTCTGTGACATCCCTGTGATGCTAAAGCTGGCTTGTGCAGACACATCAGTTCTGGAGATGGTGGGGTTCATCAGCGTGGGCCTGATGCCTCTCAGCTGCTTCTTTCTCATTCTCACCTCCTATAGTTGCATCATATGTTCTATTCTGCAGATCCGCTCTGCTGAGGGCCGGCGTGGGGCCTTCTCCACCTGCAGTGCCCACCTCACTGCCATCTTGTTTTTCTACATGCCCAGTGGTCCTCATTTATTTAAGGCCAACCCCAAGCCCTTGGCTGGATGCAACTGTTCAGGTCTTAAATAATCTGGTCACCCCTATGCTGAACCCATTGATCTATAGTCTCAGGAATAAAGAGGTGAAATTGTCACTGTGGAAGATCCTATATAACCCTGGTTTCCTTCCTGAGAAGTTGTAAAGGAAGAGCAGTCAGGAATACTTTATGTGAACTTCATGGGGAGTATAAAATTCTCATTTGGTTTTCATAAATTATTCTAATTTTACTATGTTATGGACTATGAGGTGAGGGGCTGAAATGACTTTTCTAAGGATGGCTAGGGAATACATGGTAGAAGGGAGACTCCAGGTTTTGTGACTCTAGAAACTGTACTCTCTCGTGGATATTACACTATTGCTTTGAGGAAGGGTTCTCCACATGGCAAGGATAACATCCCATGCTTTCTGTTTCTCCATATTTTTGATGTTGTTGTTTACTTTTGAGCTTGTATTTTAATTATAAAATTTCTCCCTTCCAAACCCTCCCATTTTCCCTGCCCCACTCTGTTTCATGTTTGGTCATCTAAATTTTGCACATCCTTTCCACCCTTCATCCTTTTCTTTCTACTTTTTGTGTAGTGACTTTTCATTTTGGATGTAGGTATCTTTTCCTCAAATGTCTGCATTAGATAAGCCATCTTACAATCTATCTAGTTATTGAAAAGATGCACAGTTTTGTAGCTCCAAACAGCATGTTGTTATTTATAAAGAGTTCTATGTAGAGAAAAGATTTGGTCAGGTCCTGAAGATGAGATTGGCTGAAGTAGAGGTACCAGCATGCTAGGCTGACTTAGCAAAACATGATAGTTTGGTTGAGGCTTGGAAATGGTATTGATTTTGAGCATTTGACTCATGGATGAGAAGAGAGAAAATATGGCGGGACTCTATGGAGAGGAGTAGAATGCTAGAAAACTGGGCCCATATTAGCCTTTCTCAGTCCAACCAGGAACAATGATGGATGTGAACTATTGTATTGTGTCCTCAACTTCTCTGTTTACTAAAAGTGTTAAATTTTGCATTATTTTTGTGCATTACTTGATTTTTTTTCTAAATATGCTGTCCAAGACAAGCATGCTATTTCAATTTACCAGGTTTATATTTTTTACTTAATATAGAAAGATACTTGCTTGAAGAATATAGTTGCTATTAAGTTTGCTGTATGAATGATACAGCAAATAAATAAGGAAATAAAAAGCACAGGGAAGAAGGCAATAGAAGAAAAGGCAAAAAGCATCATGGAGATCAGTCTTCCTTTTTCTGCTTTGCTTGCTAAATAAGTGCATCCAAGTAACTTTTCACCTTTCTTCCTCCAACCACTGAACTGAGCTGGTAAGTTGTTGCTGGAAGGTAACAAACATTTACACCCCCACAATATTCTGGATGTCCCCAATTTTTTTTTCTTTTTGTTGCTTTTTCCTCATTTGTCAGTTTAAATAAAAAGAGAGTGAGAGAGCCTATATAAGAATCTGGAAGAACTAGTGAAATGGCTCAGCAGTTTACATAGATTTCCCTTGAAGAGGATTCATTTAGGACCTGTTCAGTACCCAGTACCTACATCAGGAGGATTATAACCTCTGGCATCCCCAGCTCTAGGGAAATTCAATGACTCTGGCCTCTAAGGGAACCTGCACTCAGGTACGCATATCCCAAGACACGCAAATATTCACACACATAATTTTTAAATAAAGTTTTAAATAGGAATATGGAAATAAGTGTCAAATTATTTCATGTTTTGTGTATGTCTACTCTTCCCTTTCCTCATTTCCTGGCTATAGTTTCTTAGGCAGTATAATCCACAAGAATAAAAAAAATGGAGCCCTGCTCACTTTTCATTTCCACTCATTTGAATTCCATCTCACTAGTAACTCTGAGAAGACACAGGGATGCAGAGGTGAAGATTCTAAACTTTCCTGCTGGTAGTGAAAAGCTGCAGGTTAAAAAATAAAAGCAGACATGCAACTAACAGAGAGTCCAAGAATAATAGCATGACCTAAGTAGGAAATAAAGTCAAAAGAATAGTTTCCCCCTGTCCCTTTGGGAGAGGGGATAGGAAATAGTTTCCCAGAAAGGAAGTTGGTGATTGAACACTTAAATTATTTGCATGCTGCATGTTAATAATGGCTAAGAAATTCTATGCATAAAGAACCAACATGCTTTTGTTTCCTTTGGAGTGTTAGTGTTGAATTGGCATATCTTTTTTTCGTTCTGTTTTTTTGAGACAGGGTTTCTCTCTGTAGCATTGGCTGTCCTGGACTGGCTTTGTAGACCAGGCTAGCCTCCATTTCACAGAGGTCAGCTTGCCTCTACCTCCCCGAGTGCTTGGATTACAGGTCAAGTACTGCAGGTTAAGTTGGCATATCTTAACTGTTTGCCATTTAAAAGGGAGTATCTTTTGAAAGAAGATAAAAATCTTCTTTCCTTTTATTTTCTAGGCTCTTATACAACTCAGCCCCTGGTTCTTACACTGGAGGAATATATATATATATATATTTTTTTTTTCAAAATGATTGTCTCCTTAAGCAACTGAACTTCTCTTAATCTTGCTGCTCTGAAATTTGCTGGAAGCTCTCATGTCCACAGAGCTGCCTCTGTAGAAAAAAGCCATTATTCTGATGGAGATCTTTCTAAACAATATTCATTTTTCAGGTTCTAAAAAACTGAAAATAATGTCAGTGAAAACTACGTTAATTATAAAGAACTATGATAACATGTAGTCTTCTACCTACAAAAGGAAAACATATTTCCCACCAGAACTAGTCTGATCTCATATCCCTAATCTCCCCTGGAATATGATTCTCTCTCTCTCTCTAGTTTTACCATATGTTTGTTTCCATAAATATTATATTACAAGACTTTGATTTGATTTACTGAAAATTTCTTTCTTTGATTTAGTTTCTTTGATTATTGTTTCTTTTTGTATTTCTGTATGGTTGTGTATGTCTAAAATTTTCTAGTACTAAAATGCGGTAGCCCAAGAAAATTGTATGCCAACCTTGTCTCTGTAGAGTATCCTGCTATATGACTCTATCAGTATTTGTTCAATTTGCTCATAAATAAATAAACACAAATTCCTAAAATATAAGGACTCTTCTTTTGAAATTTCTATATTATTTTGACAATGGATGAGTGCACAGCTTTTCCTGTGATAAGATAAGACAAGAAAAGACGACCTCTAACCTCTTCTTAGTGGATTATTTTACTAGGAAAAAAGAAAACTTAGTCATTTTATTTCATTTGGATTCTCCAATAACTTAAGCTGACATGGGATCTAGGTATAGGCAATTCATTTGGAAGATTCTCCCTGGAAGCAGTATAAGAGAATGGTAAATTAAGACAGGATGGAATAGTCAACTAAGCAAATGTCTGTGGCTTAACACTGTGGGAAACTGGGTCTCAATCCCATTGGGAATCTGGTGAGAGATGATCTAGAATAATTAGCAAGGTGTTCTACTTCCCCAGATTTTCTAGTGAGTGTACCTTGGAGTGATAATTATGTGGCATTTTAAACTCTTCTAGGTTTGTACAAACTGAAAAAAAAAAAAAAACTTTCTTTATCTGAAATGATTCTCAGATACAGGATCCAGAAGTCCTTCCGAACACATAGACTTTATTGAAGAATGAGCTCTGGAGAGAGCTAAAGTAATATAGAAATATTCTAGGGAGGTGCTCATTGGTGAAAACACAGCATGGCTATTATGGGATAACTTCATTAGTTACTTCGTGTGGTGATGAATGCACCATGACCAAAATCGATTTAGGGAAGTGTTTCTATTGTCTGTAGCAGGACAAGTGTCCATCATGGCAGGCATGCACATGACAAGTGGCAAGTCTAGCAGCAGGAGCAAGAAGCTGAAAGCTAAAACTCTTATATTCAGTCATACTTAGAGACCAGAGAGAGTGACATGGAAGTGAAGCAAGGAGCCTGCCCTTCAGTGACATACATCTTCTAGAAAATATCCACATTCTAAAGGGTTCAAACCTCCCCAGTCAGTGCCATCAACAAGAAACCAAGTGTTTAAATATGTGAGCCTATGGGGGACATTTCTCATTTAAGCTGCTACAGTCCATTCCCCGTCTTCCAAAGCCTCATGGCCATACAAAAATGAAAAGCACACTCAGTTGACCTTAAAAAGTCCCCATTAACTTTCACAATTTCAACACTGTTTCAAGATTCAAAGTTTCTTTTGAGGCTCAAGGCAAGCTCTTACCTCTCATCCCCTATAAAAAAAAATCACAAATCAAATCTATACTTCCAACATAAATAGCCAGACTGTACATTTCCTACCTCAAAGGGAGAAATAGGAACCTTGTGTGGAAATCTTGGATCAAAATAAAACTGAAACCAACAAGGTAAATACTAAAGTTCCATGTCTCTTCTCAGACACTTTAGTTTCGAAAGGCTTAGACTGTTTTACTTCTTCAGTTTTGCCTGCAACATACATATACATTTACCATTTGAGCTGTTCAGCTCCCTGTATGGAACTCTAATTGGTTGATGACTCATGGATTTTGGGGCCCCTTCCACAACCCAGGTTTTGTTTTCACAGCTTCACAGAATGTCCTGTCAGGGACTTCTTTCTGAAGCCACTACAACACTGTCATATACTGTCCTCAGTAGCTCTCTGAAACAGTAGAGGAAGAGAGGAAGGCTCCCTCACTCTTCCACTTATTGTTGTATTTTTCATGTCCTTAAAGCCATTACTATGAGGACAATCTGATAAATTCATCTGCCACCTTGAGATGGATCCTTGCATCCTTGAACAGCATTATCAGCAACTTTCATACTTTAGAGCAGTTACTTTCCAGGACCAAACAATCTTTTAGTCTTTCTTCTTTGTTAATTTGGAAGATTATCTGGGTGGGGATTTGCCTTGGGGGCAGTAATGGTATTAACCTCCTTAACAGTTACAGTTTCTTTTTCAGTATAGCATTCATTGCTGCAATGAATTTACTGCCCTTCTCCTCTCCAAACTGTATGATTTATAATTTCTTTTGTCCCACTTACTTTTGTTCATTGTAGATCTTGCTAAAAATTATAAGCAGTAACTACTTCACAGACTCAAGCATATGCAGTCTTGAATTTTCCTCTACCAAAAGAAAACAAAATCAGTTACTTTTTTAGGATATGGGAAGAAAGCAACC